GCCTAGAGTGAGCAGAGGCCGGGGGCTAGAGTGAGCAGAGGTGGCAGGCTTGAGAATAGCGCAGCCGGCGGATTCGACGAAGGAGCGTCCGGAGGGCTTGCGGCAACCACATGTGACGACCCCGGGCTGGACTCCACTTCGTCCACCGATCCGGTGATTCACAACGCAAAGTTGTTGAATTTCCTCAGCGACCAGCACGGATCAGCTCTAGGCATGACGAAGCGGATATCGTCCTCTTTTGGAAGGCCAAACAAAGTAGTTTCGCTTTCACAACGAAACACACAGCATCTTCACGACATGGCGGCGGCGGCAACAATAATACTACAGCGAGAATAAAAGTTACGCCTTCTTTCTTTGCGTGAACATTTGGGCGGCGTTATGCAAATCTTCCCACATAGTGACGTAGATATGTGGGGGCGTGTTAGAACGAGACGTTTTAGGTAGGTGTGGCTGACTCTTAACTTTTATAAAGAATATCTCTTTGGATTTGAGACTTTAGTTTGCAACTTTACAGATCTTCTTTATGCACCAAGAGCTTGTAACACTCCAAAGAGAAAGGAAAAACTGAAATCGCATCATATGACCCCTTTAAGAAAACAGCAAGTAGTGATTACCTAAACCGGAACGGGTGTTGGAGCGATCCATTATGGCGTGCTTGCTGGGGTTGTTAAGGATTGATCGCTTGGCAAGTGCAATATCTGCCGTCACCCGGGTGATAGTAATCCTAGCAATCGATTTACATATTAGAAAAGTCACAATACTCTATTTGTCTACACACAATTATAATTATAGTAAAGATTCCTTTGTAATGAATCAACAGTCCATTAACTCCTTAATCATGTGTACCATACCTTCCTTCAAATCTGTGTTTTAAAAAATCAAAGAGAGCTTTTTGCATCATGTCTGTAACCTGTAAATAAAAATCAAAGGTAGAAAACACCATTAACAGTGTTTCATAAAAGTGTAGTTTCCGTTATGTACAGTAGAGGGCAGTACATATTTGTACAGCATAAGTGTGGCACAAGAGAACATAAGAAAATAATCCTCAGGTTGTGCTATAAGACACATTATACACAATTTAAAATAAGAATAGTACTTGTTTTAAGTTAAGAGTAATATATTTTTATATGTCTTTTGAGCCACTGGCTGCTTCAAAGCAGTAATGCTGAAGATCCTCAGAGAGTTTGGACAGTGAATGACTCACTGAACATTGCACAGCAAATGGCCCTCACCTCATAGCCCTTTAGCGAAGGCCCCATGAGCACCACAGGACGCATGGAAGGCACAACATCATATGCAGCCAGTTGCTCTCCCTGCAGTCAAAGAAACTGGGTGAAAATATGTTTAAACAAACAGGCAATATATGAATATAAATATAAATGTGTGTGTGACGAGGTCATAATCACAGCATTATGTATTTGCTCACCGATTTTTTCTTCACTTGCTGAACTAAAGGATAATTTTTTAAAAATTAGAAATTTAATTGCACACAGAAACATAAAATGATAACATTATTTATGTTCCACATACATACTTTTTGTCCAGATAAGTGGATAATAACAAATAAAGAATAATAAATGATGAAGGGAAACCTACATGCTAATGTAGATAATTTAGTTAAATTCAGTAATGAATACAAATAATGATACATGAAGTGTCAGCGCACCTGTTTGTGGTGGAGCTGCTTTCTTTGCATTCATATCATCTTTAGCAGCACTAGCCGCTTTACTGTAACGAGAAAAAAAGCATTTTGTACATAATGAATGTTGCCACAATTTATGCACATTTAAATGGCTGATTCATTCATGCAATAAGAACACAAAGATTACAAAATGACGACTCCACACTGCATTATTAATGAGATTTGTTTACTTGGCCAGCGCTTTGGCGGCCTTCCTGGCCTGCATCTCTCTTCTGATCAGAATCGTCTCCAGGTTCACCGGGCTGGGGATAAAACCAACCTCTCCCCCTTCCTTTACAGGCCGTCCAATCCACCAGTCATTGTTAAATTTCTGTAAACAACAACTTTTAAAATTTGATTTACTTCAGTGTAATGGTCATACAGGTGATCTGGGAACACACTGACCTCTTTGATATGCAGGAAGTCTTTAGCTTCAAAAGAAACTCCGTGCCCTGGTATGGGGACGTTGTCATCATCTGCAGGAGTGTAGGTGAAGTTTGTGCGCACGGCGAAAGCAACAGGCTTAAACTGAATAATCGCAACAAAAAGGAAAGAATGAAACCTTTTGATAAAAACACTGAATGTGAGTGACACTTTTGCATCAGAATCCTTTGTGAGCACATGAACTGCTACAGTATGTTTCAGTTCTGTACCTAGAGATGTAAACAAAATCTCCATGTAGTTCAGTTCTACCATTTTATTTGTAAATGTGTCCATGAGGTTGTGTATAAGTGAATGGCAGCAGACAGATACTTTGATGAGAGTGCTGGAACAGAAACACTGCTGATTTGAGCAACGGCACATGTGCTGCATTGCCCCAGGCAAGTTACTAATAATAGCTTTCATTAATTTACCTTCAAACCAATTGCAATGCACAAATTCATTCTCAAAGAGCTCCATATCAGCCCAGTAAAGGGTAATGCTGTCTATTGGCAGCTCTATGACGCTTGAGGACAGTGTGGATTTGAATATATATGATGAGACTGAATGCACAAGAGATCATATTAATTTAATCTGCAAAGACCTAAAACTTGTCCTTCAAGTGCTGTAAAATTTGCAAGGATAATTTATATGGAGTGCAGCAGGGTAGGCTACATGTGATCAGTGTTGATTCATCCATATTTACATATATTTACAGTAACAGGACGAAAGGACAATTGTAGAGTAGCAACTGAGATAAACAGTTGGTTTGCTTGGGTCAGCTTCCCCTTACATTTTAAGTGCTTTTGGCTACACTTTAGCAGATTTGTACTTTGATAGCATAATATATTTGAAGATGTCATATATAAAGATTTTTGGTTGATTAGTGTTGTTTATTTCTTAATCTGCCCTTATTTTGCTTGGTTAAACCTATAAAGCAAAAACTTAAAATATTAAGGAATCTAAAGTTAAAAAGGTTACAATAATCACAGTCTTATGTATTTATTGATTGATTGTATGCTTTAAATTTTTACATCTGGTATAAAAAAAAGTGATTAAAGGATTACTTTAAGACAAAACATTTGGAAACATAAGCTTACTGTATATTACAATGTATAACTTTTTTTCTTTAAAAACAATCCTCCAAGTCTCCATATTTTAAAATACTATAATCTATTTGTTCCTAATTAATTATTGTGTTATAATTTGGTACTTCATTTAAAAGAAGTCAAAAGTCAAATGTCAGCAAAATGGAAGTCTAGCATAACACTCCAAAATAATTAGCAAAATAATCACATTCTCATGCTTTTTAGTTAGTGAATTTTTCAGAAAATCTGGTATACTTTTTTTTTTTTTAATTGCCATTAAAGGATTGCCTGAGCCTTAAAAAAGTTTGAGAACATTAGCTTACTCTATTTCACAATGTATAACCTGTTTCTAACTTAAAAAAAAAAACAATAATCCAGTTTTCCATATTCAAAAATACTGCCTAGTAACACAATAATAAATAAATCACTTTGTTCTATTAATTTATTGTATTATAATTTGGTATTTAACTGAAAGATAGTAAAATGTCAACACAATAGCAGTCTAGCTGCTTATAG